TGACCTCTTCAATGATCTCTGAGGTCCTTTTTCAACTCTAAATCTATGAGCCTCTGATTTTAACACTATTAAATATCATCATCATCATAGCTAATAATTAGTAAATTTGTAGCACTTTCAGGTTTCCCAAGAACTTTATACTGACTCATTTGATCCTCACAACAGCCCTGGGAAGTAGGTGCTACTATTATCCTCATTTTACAGATAAGGAAACTGAGGCAGACAGAAGTTAATTGATTTAGGGTCACATAGCTAGTGTCAGAGGCTGACTCTGAACTCAGATCATCCTTACTCAAAGCCTAGCTCCCCTAGTCTTACTGGTTTCAGTCCAACATTTTACCCTGTTAAAATCATTTTGGGTCTTGTCTCTCTTCTAGAGCTTAGCACAATGGCTGGCACATAGTAGACACTTAATAAATGCTAGCTGATTAGCTAATGGATATTAGTCACCCTGAGCTTTGTGTCATCAGGAAATTTGGTTAACATACCATCTATACCTTTATGTCATTAATAAAAATGTTAAATAGCAAAGGGCCAATTAAACACATTGTAAACTAAAAGCATAACAAGTTGTGCATTTTTATAACAAGAAAAAATAAGATAAAAAATTTTTTCTTGATACCAGATATATCTTTCAAATAATAATCCTTTTCCTTATTTAAATATTATTTTTAAGTTTTGGATCATAGGATTTATATTTGGTATTAGAAGGTTCATTAGAGGCCATATAGTCCATGCCTTTCATTTTACAGATGAAGAAACTAAGGCCAGAGAGGTCAAGTAACTTGTCTAAGGTCACAAAAGGAAAAAGAACCAATGTCCTCCCACTCAAAAAATCAAGGTTTTCCTATTGCATGATACTGTCTGCCTAGTTTAATATTTCAAGGATCTGCAGTTTCATCAGAATGGATAATCCCTCCAGAAGTGCAGACTGTAGCTCTCTAAGCTAAATAATATTTTGAATTATGTAAATAATTCAAAAAAGCTTTTCATTCAAGGTAAATGAGTTCCTTAATGAAGCACTGTTCTTTACTGAGAACCTTGATTATTTAAACTTAGCACAGTTTGAAATTCACAGAGATAACCAGGGGTTACAAGGAGGGATAAGAACCATACAGCTGAGAGTAAGAGTTACATGCTAACTATTTAATTGTGCTTTTGATCTGACCTGTAATTTTATTTGAGTAGGGAGACCCAGGCTGGGAACTTTCCCTACCATTACCTATTGGCATCTTCTCTGTAATGTTACAGCCTTATGTTTCCTGGGGGCACTGAGAGGTTAGGTGAGGTAGGTCACACATAGGCCAGTGTGTGTCAGAGGACTTGACTCCAGGTCATTCTGATTCCAAGACCAGCTCTCTCTCCACTAGGCTAAAAGCTGCCTCTTTCCTATCTCATTTGCCTTTATCACAAAACAAAAATATTCCTGACAAGTACCTTTACATGCCTGGTCTAAAAAGATTCCGGTGTCTATACTCTAAAGAGATCAAAGCAAGAGGAAATAGATGTGTGTGTGCGTGTGTGTGTGTGTGTGTGTGTGTGTGTGTGTGTGTAACCACTCCTTTTGACCCAAAATATGAGAAATGGCTGAACAAGTTATATAAGGCATGTGAATAGGATGAAATAGTATTGTGCTGTACAAAATGATGAAGGGGCTGGATTCAGAGAAATCTGGGAAGATTTTTACGAACCGATATAGAATGCTGTGAACAGAATCAGGAGAACAAATAAAGAATAACAACAATATTATAAAAAAATGAAACCCAACTTTGAAAAACTTAGAATTCAGATCAACTTAATGGCCTACAACTTCAGAAAATTCATGATGAAACATGCCACCCACCTCCTGAGAGAAAAGTGATGGACTTAGAGTGCATCCTGACACGTTTTTTGGACACAGCCAATAGAGAAATTTGTTTTGCTTGTCTATATGTATTTGTTACAAAGGCTTTGTTTTTCTTTCTTTTTTAATTTGGGAGGGAGAAAAGAGATAGGAGGAAGAGGGGGACTTTGATTAATTTTTAAAAATGTTTTCTAGTTGTCAGAAGATGGACATTCACAAATTAAGCCCCAATTATAACTTTACAATGCTTTAGGTAATCCCCTATATAGATTACAAGTACCCTTTGTCTGCAATTGACCTCAGCCTTTTATGGCCCAAAGTACAATTAATTTTTCCAGGTAAAGAGCAATGTATAGTATTAATTTGTTCTAAAAGAAATGGTAGGGTAGAGGTTAACTCACCTGCTCCATGACAACATAAATCAGTAACTGAGCAGAAGAGAACTCACTCAGTAATTTAGAACTACATCATAGAATCACAGATTCAAAGCAGAAGGGTCTTCAGAGACCACCTAGTCCAAAACCCTCCCTTTTCTGATGAGGAAATTGAGGCTCAGCCTGGTTAAATGTAACCCATTGTTACACAGCTAGTAAATGATAAAGCTGGTATTTAAACTCAAATCTACTAGTAACTCCAAAACCAACAAAACAACTGGATTCAGCGCCTATATCTGGATCACTTGCCTGGACAATTTGGGAAAAATCACAATTGCACATTGACTTTTCTCACATCAAATGCTTGCACTTTGATGTTGTTCACTTCTCTTCAAATTCTCTAACCAAAGTGTTAGTAATGGCATAGAGGACCAGGGAAAAAATTATAATGGCTGTTGCATTCCAAACTGCAAGGTCTCTGCTCTAGATTTTCTAAATACAGTTCTTCTTTATAAACTGACCTAGTCTTTTGATGCCTTTCTGATGCTAAATAACTTTAAAACTTGTTTTTAAGGGAGGTATGGGAAAACATTTCCCCTCTCAAAAACTGGCTTCTGACTAGATGAAGCTTATCACAACTTTGTACAGCAGCTATTTTAATGTCATGATTTAGCTTAGGACTGTTGTTCTCTAGGTATAGATTGCTTTTCAAGAAAAGTTACAGAATACTTTTCTCCGTCATAATAAAATGCTGCCAGTACTTACTCTTGACAAAAGTCCTGAACCAGAAATTTTAAATCACAGTTTCTTGTTTTGATGGTATGTGTATATTTATTTTTAAAGATTTTTAAGTAAAACTCAAAAATGGAAACACAGTCCACTTTCTTTCTTTTTATCAGCATTATTTGCAGTTCCCACCAATAAGGAAACTGGAGTTTGTTTTCATTTACAGGGTAAAAGATTTATCCAAATGAAATATATTAGCACTCTTCTGGGCAAATAAAGTTTGACTGTGCACTAAGATGATGGGTTAATTCACTTAGTACATTTAAGATTAATCACTTTCTTCATCTTAAATAATGCTAACTTTAAAAAAAATTCTAAACTTGGTAGTCAACAATAAGAAAAATGTAAGTAATTTACAGCTTTAAAAATTGTGCAGATTAAATATAAGATAGTAATAGAAATAAATTTTATTTCTGTGTACCCTTCTGAACTTTTTTTTGTGCTTTTTCCTTGCAGATTTTCTTTTGATGCTATTATTTAAACAGCTGTGGCAGTCACTGATTACATTCTAATTTTGCATCACTTCATGTTTTCCTGTGCTTTCTTGATTCTTCATACTTAATACTTCTTATGGCACAATACTCTTTCATTACATACATATACCATAATATGCTCAACCATTCCTTATGGGACACCAATTGCTCTCTTTTAATAAATTTTTTGCTATTACTAATAATGCTACTATGAATTTTTTATAGATAACATTTTATTGCTGTTAACATTCTATATCTTTGCCAATTTAATAGTTGCACGATATATCAGAATTGTTTTGATTTGTATAATTATTCGAGAGCTTTAACAATTTTTCAGGTGGCTATTGATAATTAATACTTCTTCCATTTTTTAAAAAAAATCATTATGTATTTGTTCAGTCTTCCTCAATAAGTTTTTTTAATATTCATTTTTACATTTTCAGTTCCAGATTCTTTCCCTCCCTTCTGCCCTTCCCCCACCTCCGCCCCCCCACTCTCCCACCCCACCTCACCCCACCCCACCCCACCCCACCCCCAGCTGGGAAGGGCAAGCAGTGTAATACTCATTATAAATATGATCCTCCTTATTTTGGAAAAAAATGCAGATTATGTCTTTTGAAATAAACAAAAACAGAACAGAACAGAATATTAACAGCACCTTTTTATTCTTCCCAATGTTATCTATACACTCTCTGATACTAAAGGTAATAACGCAACAATTTCTAGTATACCGTGCAAACAAAAAGTTAACGGCTCATTCTTATTCTCCCCGTCTTTCTACTACGCCCACGGATAACTACACGTAATAACGGAAGAGTTCCGAGTGCATCAAGCAAATAAAAACTTAACAACGCATTCTTATTCTTCCCGATGTTCTACTACACTCTGATACTCTAGGTAATGATGGAACAATTCTACGTCCGTGCAAATAGTAGCTAAATGCTGAGGATAACAATGGACAATTCACAGCATCTCCGAGCTGGAAGAAGACCAGTTGCCCTTTTGGAAGTTTGGGGAGCTCTTGGGCCGTTGAACTTGTAGTTAGGGATGAAAGGGGGTGCTGTTAGAGCAGGGAAGAGAAGAGGGCCAGTTCCGCTCAATGGGGTGTGTAGAAAGAAGGAGCGACCTGTTCTGGTCACCTCCCTAATGCGCCCGGGCTTTCATTAAACGTTTTCTTTTCGCTAAATTCACGAGCCCGCAGCGGTGGGAATGTTTGCAAGTTTTTATCCCCTTCCCCACCTGCTTGTTTGTGGGATGCAGAAATGCAGGAAGGGATGCATGAGCGCTTCTCCTCATCCTCATAATAACGATTTACCCGGTTAAAGCGCTTTCGGTTTTACGCACACTTTTTTTAATCACTGAGTCTGAAAAAAAAAAAAAAGGAGGGGCAACCTAGTTCGACAAAGTGGCGCTAAGGCGTCGGAAGGTCGGGAGGGGCGGGCGAGGGGCAGGGCAGAGGAAGAGCTGGGGGGGCGGGGAGGGGGCGCGAAGGGCATATAAAGCGCCCGCGGCGGAGCCCCTGGCGCAGTTGGTGCGCTCCTTGAGGCTGATTAGGAACTCTCAGGCTGGCGCGGCTCCCCTCCTCGCACGTGCGGCCGCGGATGGGGCGGGTCCTAGTTTTGCTCTGTAGGCCCCAGAGGCGGCGGCTCCTCGGCCGACGGGTCCGGCTCATCTTCGTGCTGCTATGGCGGCCCGTTATGATCGTGCGATTACTGTCTTCTCCCCCGACGGGCACCTCTTTCAAGTGGAATACGCGCAAGAGGCGGTAAAGAAGGGATCGACGGCGGTGAGTCTGCTCCTCCTTAACTATCGTCGCCCTTGGTTTCCCTTCCCTGCCTTCTCTCCCCGCCGCGGGACCCCTGCTTTCCTGGGACGCCCCCTCCCAACCTCCCCGGGACCCTCTCGGGGAACCCCTGGCCCACCCGCGGAACCCGGGCCCACCCGTCGAGAGCGCAGGGGCTCGGCGAGATTCTCTGAGGTGCGACGGCCTCCCGCTGAGCGCTCCCCTCTCCTCGCCCGGCGGGTAGCTCGGCTTCACCCCGAGGAACGGGAGGGCGGCGGAGGACGCGGGGTGGGGGGTGGGAAATCCTCCTTTCCCTCGGGTAATACGTCCAGTCACTGGTCCCGAGGGCTTGAGCTCTCCGTGCGGGGAGTGGTGGCGACTCGTGCCCCGCAGAGGTGTGAGGGGTGGTGGCTCCGAGGTGGAGAGAGTGGTGTACAGGAAAGGAAGAGGGAGGGGGCCTAGGTTTGGAGCTTGGCCCTGCTAGGGTGATTTGGCGTACTCTCTTGGGTCTCTCGATTATTAAAGCTAGCAAACAGTCGTGTTTTATAATTTTGTATTAGAAAATTAAAGTCGGCATATATATGTATATATAACACCTCATTTAATTCCCCACAACGATTCTCCCATTCTTGGGAGATTGGTGATTTTGCCAGCATGACCTTGAGCAAGTCTTTTTAACGTTACTGGGTCTCTTATAAAAATTAAAGATAGCAAATAATCACAAAAACATAAGGACATATAATTATATAATATATAATGAAAATGTGTGTACATCTTTATCTGTGTAAATGAAAATACGTATATGTGTGTATTATATATATAATTTGATTCCTCAACTCTGGGATATAGGTGCCTTTGCTGGAATGACCTTGGGCAAATCTCTTAAAACTTTCTGAGTGTCTCAAGAATCAAAGCTAGCAAATAATATATAATTGTTTATAAAATATTTTACATAATAGAATTGATTGGATATGTATGTGCATATGTAATATGCGTGTATAAAAATTTAATCCTCATCAGAATCGGGGGAGTGACCTTGGGCAAGCCTCTTAACTTTTCCTGGGTTTCTCTTAGTAATTAAAGATAGCAAGTAATCATAATTATATGTAATGTAATGGAGAATTAAAGCTACTAAGCACTGTCTCTAGCTGGACCTGGCATCAGGAAGACCTAAGGTTTTATATAAAAATTAATTTGATCCTCTCAACAACCCTGGAATAAAGTGCTATTATGATTCCTCCTTTTACAGATCAGGAAATGAGGCAGGCAGGGGTTTTAAGGGCTTTACCCAGGCTTACACAGCAAGGAAGTAGAATTTGAACTCGGGTCTTCTGGGTGCTAGATACAGCACTCTTATCCACAGCGCCTAGTTTTGGTTGGACTAGATCGGCTCAGATTGCTAACAGCTCAAAACTGTGATGCCAAAAGGTGACGCCCCACCTGCGTGTTACAGGTCAAGGTGCTGGGGTGCAGTAGGGGAGGATCTCCATGGCTTTAGAGTCGGTACTGGGTTCAGGTTCCAGCTCTTCCTTTTGCTTCCGGTCCTACTATAGGCCGGTTCTGAGCTTTAGAGCTGGAAGGGACCTTAGAGGCCACACCATTATTTTATAGATAAGGAAATTGATGCCCCGAGAAAGCTAGGGACTGCTCAGGCAGCAGGTGTCTTAAGTGGAAATAATCACTGCAGTCGTTTAAATTAGGCTTTGAGCTTTCAACCCTGTGTGGTCCGTGCAATTACTATTCTCATTTTGCAGATGAGGAAACTGAAGCTTGTCCAGGGCTAGGATAGTTAAATGCCAGAGGTGTAGGTTTAAACTCTTTTGGTTTAAATTTTTTTGTCTTACTCGACCAAAAAAAAAAAAAAGGGAAAAACTGCGGAGTTTCCATGCTTACAGGGAAAACCTAAAACTAGCACATCCACATCCTAGGAAAATCACCTGCTTGACCGTAGTCCAGTTCTCTCTCCATTTGGCTAAACTGCTGTTGCACTCTGCCCACGACCAGGGGGCTGGGAGGCCATTCATCGAGCCAATCTGCTGGTTGGTTTTACTGTAATTAAAAAAAAAAAAAAAAAGGCCTTGTCTCCCAAGGTGATTGATCACTGTGAGTCCTTGGAAGGGGCAAGTCACCACATTGTCCTGACTGGGCTTTAATTGTCTAAGCTATAAAATGGGGGAGAAAAAATAAAATAAAATGGGGGAAGTAATAACTTAAGTATTTATCAGGGAAATTGTGAGAATCACGAGGGTTTTGCAAAATATCAGGTGCTATATAAATTGACATGATTTGTGCAGACGCAGAAGTATCTATATCTTCCTGGTGCCTGATAGAGTGCTAGGTCTGAAATCAAAAAGTTTTGAATTTAAATCCTTCCTCTCATTTGTTAAACAAGTGACACTGGGATGGTCACTTAACCTGTATGTACCTCTGTTTGGAGGAGGTATTTTCCACACAAGCTCACAAAGTCAATATTTTTTCCCTATATTCATGTATTTGTGTACCTAGATAAAATTGCACTTGTGGCAAAAAAATAAAAGAAAAAGATCAAATCAAATATTTTAAACTTCTACCCTGTAGTCTAGTACAAGATGCTATACCAAAAAAAAAAAAAAATGAACAGAGGTCAATTGTGGTGAATCTCAACAATATAAAAGCACTCATGGTTGTGTGGCATTTTTTATAGTTAGTAGGCAGTGTATGAGTCAGCTCCACTTTACTGATAGGGAAATTGAAGCTTAGATAGACTAGCTACAAGTCTTCCCTAAGGTCTTACAAAAGTTAAATAACAGGGCCAGGACTTACACATTCATTCACTTTTTTGATGCTATTCAGACTATTTTGTTTTATACTGTTTATACTATTTATTAAGTACCTATTACGTGCCATTCACTGTGCTAAGTGCTGGGGATACAAAAAAAGGCAAAACACAGTCTTCAAGTGCTCAAGGAGCTTTCGACCTAAAATGGGAGCCAATTAGGACTTCACTTTTTTGAAAAGACAAGACTGACTCAGGGTAATTTCCTTCAGGTTATGGGCCACTTACAGTGTCAAAATGCCTTAAAGAAAGGTAGTGTAAGGCAAATTGAGATACCTGCAATACAAAATGGATTATTATTAACAGAATAATGTAATAAGTAATAATTTAAATAATATTTAGCAGAATAAATCAACAGAAATTAAGAATAAGCTTATCAATTAATTTCACATTTATTTCACAATTTGTTTTCTCTATGCCTAGTTTATTCATTAAAAAGGAACCAGAATCTTGCTTTAAAAAAAAATCACATTAGGTTTTGCTTTAATTTAAGTTCTATTTGGATTTTTTTTTTGGTACGAATTCTGGAAATTCCCTTTCTACCAAATATATAATAATGAATCTTTCAAGCATACAACTGATAGCAGGACATAATAGCATGATATTTAATGAGGCCTCATCATTTTGTAATGGTAAAGAATAAAACCCCCAGAATCTGCTGGTTGGGGTTCAAACAGGTGGTTGTCATAATATGGGTGAGAGGAAAGGCTTGAAATCAAACCTCAGACACTTAGCTTTGTGACCTTGGGCAAGTCACTTAACCCTGTTTACCTCAGTTTCCTAATCTGCAGAATGAGCTGGAGAATCACTCCAGGATCTTTGCCAGTAAACCCCCAAGTTAGGTTACAGTCACTTGCGGTTGAAACAAATGAACAGTCACATACAGCTTTGAGTCCTGTGGCATCACCTACTTGGCACTTTATATAATCAGCATAATAATACTTGCTATAATTACCTAATAGAGTGGATAATTAGGAAAGTGTTCTGGAAACTGCAAAGCATTATGTAAATTTGCACAATTATCTTTTGGTTTAGTAGACCATAAGCTTCTGGAGGACAAGAAGTATATACCATGCTTCAAGCTTTTGCTCTCGGCTACTTAGAGTTGTGTGGCCTTGGGACAAGTCACTTTCTCTGTGTCTCAGTTTCCTCATTTGTAAAATATGGAGTTTGGATTAATTGACCTTTATATCACTCTCTGGTTTCCCTTTCCCTGATGCTTAATGCACAATTCTGCACACATAGTGAGTGGTGTCAACAGTTGATGTGTTCAATATTGCTGATGCCAAGTTTTATATAACCACACTAGACTTACTAAAATTAAAAGTGTATGAATGCATATCAGCTAAATATCAGCTAAGGTTGCATTTTACCAGTCTTTTTGCTCTATGCCTATAAGCCTAGTAACAAAAAAAGACCAGGTATTTTCTTCTTTCTTCCCTTGGATACTTGTAGATTTTGGAATTCCAGAACTCCCTTCCGCCCTTCTGTCTCCTTCCTTCCATTTCTCCCTACCTCCCTCATCCTTCCCTCTCCCTCACTCTCTAGAGGAATATAGATGTATGTATGTGTACACATATGTATATATTTTATATATGTAAATATTTTCTATGCCTATCTAAAATTTTAGAAGTCTGTGGACCAGCTAATTGTTATTCATTCATTTTTCTTCCCTTTTCCTATCTGGGTAAATCATGGTAAGAGGAGTTAATTAATTCACTTTCACTAAGTATTTCATATGCAAAGTGTTGAAAAAATAACACTGGGAAGAAAGATGAGGTTGTTTTTTTCAAGTCATCCTATAATATTTTTAAATTAAATAGCACCCCAAAGTTTTGCTTCTGTTTTATGAGTAATTTAATGTTTTTTTTGTAATGATAAGTTTAAGAAAAGCCTCCTGTGCCTTAAATCAAAAGGGGGCTGTTTTGATAGAAATGTTTCCTAACCCCTCCCAGTATGGTATGTAGCATCTGGCTAGAAAATACGACCCAGGTTTCAGAGCTGAAAATGAAAGGAGTAGTGGGAGAAGACTGAGGTGTAATAAGAAACCACTTTGGCTCATTTAAAATGTTTTAGAAATGCCATAGAACTGATGGATGGCTCCTTTGTAATGAGCTGTAAAAGGGTAAGGATATAAAAATACCTATATTGGGTATTTTTAAAGATACATTACAAGCATGAGACAGTT